ATTTCAAAGGTAACAGATCTTTGTAATACTCAGTTTAGGACTACAGATGTAAATTAGCCTTAGGCTAAATCTGGTGCAATGCATCAAATGTTTTTATGTTTATGTTTTAAGTGCACATTGTCCTAAATTCATTCATTCACTCATTCATTCATTCATATAATGGCCCCTCAGCTGTTGACCTGCAGTAACTGTGGGCCCTGGAGTAATTTAGTTGAACAGCCCTGCACTAGATGCTCCGCGCAGCGGCGGTGAGCGGACGCCGATCCGTCACAATTAGATCCCATCCTATTTTTGCCCAACTAAAATCATCAGTTCTCTGTGCACAGAATTATTTTAAAAGCATCGACCATCTCTGTAAGATTAGCTTTAACAGTTTAAACTAGCCTGGCCCTTGCCTTCCTAAGCAGCTCCGCTCAATNACTCTGGGCATGTTTTTGATGAGAGGATAACATTATAACATGATATAAAACTCAAAAAAGTTGATTTTACATGATGCTCCTCTTTAAACTTGTATCTCAAACATAAACCTTTTGTGCTTTTGAACTTTTGGTGACCCTAATGAACCAGCAACTTTTCTTTTGATTTGGAGCTCTTTGTTTTCTAAATATTTGCATTTTCCTCTGAAGCTGTTTAGAAGAAAGTTGACAAATGTTGGATTTTCAGGCAGCAGCTGTGCAGATATTCAACGTTTCCTCAGATTCTGCAAAAACTAAACTGCTGTTTTGTTAATTCGTTTTGCTACAGCTGCTGAGAAACAGAAACCTGGCGAGACGGAGTTTGTTTTTCCCCACGATGGATTTGTACTCAAGGTTGTTTAATACAAAAACAGATTATCTGTTTCCAGAAATCAGTTCATACCAAGATTATCTGCTCCGCGTGGAATGATCACATCTGCGTACTTCTTTGTCTGGCAGAAACACAAACACATCTAGTTAATAACACATAATGGTTAGTGTAGCTAAACAAGTAACTGTTTCACACTGTGATTCATTAAACAGATCATAGTGTGTTGTAGGGTTGCAAAACTGTATCGTGTGTAATTATTGGTCAGAAAAACTTTAATCGATTATTTTTTGGCACATGATAATTAATACGATTAACGCCTCTAGGCAGGCAGACTGAAGATTTCCTGGTCAGTCCGCTCAGTGCTCCTCTCTGCTTTAAATAAGAAAAACTTTTTTAACAAAGTTCTGCAATTTATTCATCATAACTCAGGTTTTACTTGGTCTGTCAACACAAGTTAAAAATTGATGTTTAGCTTGAAGTCACAGTTAGGAACAGATTTTTACAGAGAGCAAAGGTTTCCCACTGCAGTGATTTAAATTAGTCATGTGACTAGGATATGATGCATCCAGAGACTCCAGAGGATTAATCGTTATATTCATCATTATCAGATAAATGCCACAATTAATCGCGATATTTTTTTTTGCCAATATTGCCCAACCCTAGTGTGTTGAGCATTAGTACAAGGAGGTCCTATAGAACAGCTGGAGCTCAGAAACCACCTGATCATGAGATCGGCTGGAGAAGCTAACGGCTAACGCTAAACGGTCAAGACTCTGGATTTCTCATTACTGTACCTGATGACAACAGAGCAGAAAAAAAGGACTGATGATGTAGAAATCATAAAAACTATTAATATTAATATTAACACAATTATTATTAATATTTTACAGTTTATATAATCTATCTAATGTTTTAAATAATGTGAGAAAAGCTGAGAAAAGTTGTGTGTGTGATTTATTAACAGAAGATAAACAGGAAACGTCTCATTTCACAACAAGTCAGCAGATTTATACCAAAAAAAAAAAAATATAATTCATAAGTAACAATGATCTAAAC